CTATTCAAAAGAGACAATAGAAAAGAAAACAAAAGACCAGAACATTTCCTCCCCAGCAGTCATCACCCAGATAAGCAGAGATTAACGCCAAGATTACCACCAGGCACACAATCAGACAGTAAACAGATGCTAATCAAGGAACTACCAGAGGAGCAAAACAAAACCCCCACCAGCACTGGCAAAGCAAGTATATAAACAGAGAGCAAACTCCATCCCATTCCAGCACTGAAGATGTTATCCAGCTGGGTAATGAAACATTTGCAAGGAAACAACCAAGCTCAGAGAACCCCAAGGACTCCGCCATTCAACCCTGAGCTACTCATATTCGCCTCTGTTGAGATGGTCTAGTTGGCCTGAGGATTGTCAACCAAGTGTGGTTCTTTGAAGAGCTCAGAGCTCTTTTGTTTAGTATTTGTTTCCTGCATGCGTGCATGAATGACATGAGCTCCATCTCTCTCTCCCACCCCACCCCACCCCACCCTACCCCACCCTGGCTTTCTACAGAGGAAGGTGACTTCTTAGCATTGGATCTTGGTGGCACAAATTTCCGGGTGCTAAGAGTTAAAGTTGCAGATAATGGCAGCAAGAAAGTTGAGATGGAGAATCGGATCTATGATATTCCAGAAGAACTGATGAGGGGCAGTGGAACACAGGTGAGTTCTGCAGCTTTTCTTTGACTCTCTGGTTTTGGCTACACTCCTTGGGGAATAAGCTACTCTAGCTGAGACACTTCTGTGGCAGAGAACCTCTGGATTCTATGGAAAGGCTAATTCATATGCTCTTTATGGCCACTTGCACTGTCTTATGTCTCTGGATTGTTGCTTCTCTGGCCACCAAGGGTGCTGGAACTTGGGAAAAGATGATTCTTGTTGTCTTTGAGTATCTCTAAGTTCCCCCATCTCAAAAGGGCCCTGGCACACATACACACAGAGAACAGTGCTATCCTGAAACATGCAGCCAGTTCTACTTTATTTTATTTTATTTTATTTATGTTATAGCTCTTTACAGAGTATTGGAGGCTACACCACAGAAAATTAAAACAATACAATAATACTTACAGAGCAGTACAGATCAAAATTGAAAACCCAGGACTATCCAGCAGAATGACTTCTAAACCAAGACCTGAGAAAGCCTGTTTGCAAATGTATACTTAATGGAGAAGGAGGCTGGTGTGTTTCCTTTGGTTGCACATGTGTGGCTGGGTTGGGGTGAATCCAGAGATTGGCCTTAAAACCAGGAGAGAGTTTTAAGGGGCAAAATGCATTATATCAGGATGGCTTAGAGTCTTCAGGTGGCCCACCACAGCTGTAGATCCTTTGACGATACAGTTCAAGTCTCTGGTACTGGAGATGTAGTGCATAAATGTCTTTTGCGTTTAGATTTTTATGTAGTTGGGATGCCTTAGCTCTACGTAGATTAGAGTAAAGGCTTTGGCACATCTGGACAAACCCAAACCTTTTGGAGAATCTGAGACAGTCCAAGTGGTGCCCTTGGTATATCACGTGGCCACCTTTAGCCCCCTTGTTCCTACAGGTTCTCTCTCTTGTCTGCAATGAGTTCAAAGCGTTGATGCGTCCAGCATAGGAAGCCTTCCACCTTGGGCTTCCTCCACTTAACATCACATATTCTGGGATGGGATCTTGTTTCAATCATTTCTGTAGTTCTTTGACTCTTAGAAAATTACAGGGAAGTCTTAAATTTTCCTATCACTTGTGATCACTTTTTTGAGACATTGATGGGCTTGTATTGAATTCTCATACCACAAGGTATGGAATAACCAAGCTGTTTTGAAAAAGTTGGATTTTCTAATCCAAAATGTATGCTGTCTGCTACTGAGTGAATGATTCCATGGTTGATTCTGGGAACGAATCCTGCTTTTGGTAGGTTTGGAATATAAATACAGAAAGATGACCTGAAAAGGAAAGACAGGTCATTGGAGGGCAACCTGCTGAATGTTAATGGGCAGGAAAGAGCAAATGGCCATCCTTGTCTATGGCTTTCCTAAACATGTCTTTATGCCTCTTCAGCTCTTCGACTACATTGCTGAATGTTTGGCCAACTTCATGGAGCAGCTGCAAATAAAGGACAGGAAGCTGCCGCTGGGCTTCACCTTCTCTTTTCCCTGCCACCAGACCAAGCTGGACGAGGTAGGTGAGATTTTTGCTCCTGGGGGACTGCGTTAGGTCTTCCCCGCACGCATCCACCTCTGGCCCACGGATGCTCTGGCAGCATCTTTTTCCTCCCGGTCCTCATGAGGTTCACTTCCTCCCTTGCCCAGCCTGTGAATGAGAGGGGCTTAAGTCATTTGTGGCTGTGCTGGTGTTAAAGTTGCACTTCCCCCCTTAAGCCGATCACATCCAGAGGCAGCGGCCAGGTGGGTGAAGTCTGTTACTTTGCTTTAGCGCCTCTGACCTCACAGGCAAAGTCGGGTGCCCAGAAGTGGGCGGGATAGAGCGGTCCTGTGGGCGGGTTGGGACTGAGGCGGGCACGGCTCCTCCCCGGTGCTCCCCGGTCAGCCTTGTCTGCCACCGCTGGGCAATGTGTCCTGCCAGTGATCTGTCGGAGCTGCGCCATAGCGCCAGGCTGATCAGACGACAGTCCTCTCAGGGCATTGCGGCCCCCACAGGTCGAGCGCAAGGCTGAAGTAGCATAATAGAGGAGGGATGGAAACAGCCCCCTTCCCAAAGGCCCACGGGGCGTCCAGAGGCAGCGTTTGTAGCCACCGAAGAAAGGAAAGGTGGGGAGGGAAATCGCTGCTTGGGACTTGGCCCCTTTGAGGCGCCAGGCTGTTTTCTTTGCTTCATTCGACTTGGGCTACGGCAGAAAGGGGTGGAGGAGGAGGGAGCCTCAAGGTGGGGAGTCCTGCAGCCAGATGCAGGATCTTTGGCACATAAAGGTGGGAACAATTCTTTTCCCCATGGGTTTTGTGTTTTTTTTTACCCTGCCCCAATCTGCAGAGTGTGGGTGATATTCAACAGAACAAACATGCAGAATAAAAACAAAAAGACTTAATAGAAACTCCTGGATGCCCACCAGAAACATTCAGTTGTGATTGAAAGAATGGTGGAATTGTGCTATTTTAACAGCTTTACAAAATGCTGTGAGGGAGGGGGTTCCAGTGTAGGGGGCACAACAGAGATGCCCTGCTGCCTGCCCTTATGCTGCACCGCTCACATAGAGCGGGCACTCTGAGCAGGCTTTTTCATGCTGTTCTGACCAGATGGACATACCCTGCCCGGACAAGTTGCGTCTAATAGGATAGAGCTGTGACAATATGCAAACCAGTGGGTAATAGATTCCAAGTGATGCAGCGGGGGGAGGGGGGAGAGATTCCAGAACAGCCTCCCCTCCAGATATGTGGACTTCAACTCCCAGAGTCCTCAGTGAGGATTTTGCAGTCGTGCCCATGCTGGTTGAGGAGTTCTGGGAATTGAAGTCCACACTTCTTGTGGAGGGGGGGTACCTTGGTCAGGCAGATTGTTCTAAGACTTGGGGGGCAGGGCCCCCTTAAAATAGTCTTGTTAAGATTTGATCCCTTGCTGCTTTACCTTTCTCTCAATCAGAGCATCCTGGATACTTGGACCAAAGGATTCAAGTGCAGCGGCGTGGAAGGGAAGGATGTGGTTGCACTGTTACGGAAAGCTATAAGGAAGCGAGGGGTAATTAAAGTGTGATCGTCCCCCCAGTGTGAGGTTCTGGGGAGGCACTAGATTTCCCAGAGTGCTGTGGGTGTATCCCAGGGTCATTGGTGCCCCTGGGATCCTCCTCCTATAGCTGATCGGTGGGGTTGCCTGTTCTCTTTGGAATTGTTTGGAAAAGTGTGCAAGACCCGTTCACGCAGTGACGACAGCTGACCAAAAGATGTTTCTGCACACACCATGGGGGAACAGCGCACTCACTCCAACACGTTCGGCTGTCGGAGGCCTTTCTGCCTTCGGCGAGTCCAAGCCAAAGTGGAAGCCCGCTCGCATTAGGAACGTGGGCCTTGTCTGTGCCTCTGTGCCGCAAAGTGAAATGGAAGGCACCAGGCCAGGGATCGTACAGAGATGAGTGACCGCAGAAGGTGGTGTGGACGGTGCAGGAAGAGTTATAAGCAGTTTAAAGTACTTTGCCCTACTGAAGCTGCACTTGCTTTTTATTTTCTGCCTGAGGTCTACAGTCGTGTGAGTGTGCGTGAGAGAAAGAGAGAGAAAGAAATGAATGGTTGAGGCCATGATGCAAAGCAGGTGGGACTGGAGGAAAACTTTAAAAAATGGCATAGTACCCCCTAACCAGCTCCCCCAAATGCTGGAAAAGAGGGAGGTAGCCTGTAAAATGAGTAGCTATTATGCTGGTTTGCACACACATTGTGGAGGTGGCTTGAAGTCTGCACGTGGGCATGGCGTGGGCTGCGTGCAGCCTGAAATGGTGGTGCTTGGAAGTGGTGAGCTTTCGTCAGGGCAGCAGCCCCAGCACCTGGCCCTTTGCTTCAGGCAGAGAAGCTCCTTCGCTTTGGGGACTCTTGTAGTGGCTGGAAGGGAAGGCAGATGCAGCTGTGAAGCAGGCGCTGAAGCATGGCTGCCGGAGGGGGGGAGAGCCCTGTCCTTCCAGCAGCGGGCACGTGTTGCTGACTCCACAGATGCCTTGTCCTCCGGAACGTTGCTGGTTCTCCATCAACTCCTGGCACAGACCAAACTGGGACCCACCAGTCTGCCCCATCTTGCACTGCCCCCACTTGCCTTTGGAGCCAAGGCCTGTGAGAGGGAGGCCGAGGTGTCAGCTGGGTTGTGTCAAACCAACTGGGACTCTTACTCAGCGCTTCCCTTCCAATTCCTGTATTGCAGGACTTTGACATTGACGTTGTGGCTGTGGTGAATGACACTGTTGGGACAATGATGACCTGTGGCTATGACGACCACAACTGTGAAGTTGGGCTTATTGTTGGTAAGAGAAACTATCTGGGATAAGAAGGCCAAGTAAGACCCCCCTCCCCCACGATTCTGGGGGCTTTAAAAGGCATTCCAAGCCTGCAAATTGCAGAGCAGAAACAGTTTTTGGCCTGTTTCTAGTACTGGGCAGGTCATCTGATTGCTCCCTTCCCCCTAGACTTCATCTTTTCAGCTCGCAGGGATCTGCTTTACTAAGGGTGATGATACTTTATTTGCTGCCCATCGTTCTGGCCAAGGGTACAGATGAAATCTGGGCTGCTACTGAAGTCTTTTTGGCCTTTCCCTTGCCTCTTCTACCCATCTTCTTAGGCACTGGGTCAAACGCATGCTACATGGAAGAGATGCGCCACATAGACACTGTGGAGGGCGATGAGGGCCGCATGTGCATCAATATGGAGTGGGGAGCCTTTGGAGATGATGGATCCCTCAGAGATATCAGAACAGAGTTTGACCAAGAAATTGACATGGGCTCACTGAATCCTGGCAAGCAGCTGTAAGTGGAATGTCTCCCCTGTTGGGGCTTCATGTTGCCCTTCCTGCAGAGCAGAGGGGCCTCCAAGCATCTTTTGGGTAATGTCAGTCTCTTGGCTCTTGTGGTAGTTACCCAACAGGTCTCACTTAAGGCTGCCGGGCCTTTGCCCAGAGGCAGGAAGAGGCATCGGTCTTGTTCAGAGTCAATGAGCTTTCAGAGATGTGGGGCTCTACTGAGTCAGCAGCTCCTCTAGTCCTAAGAGGCAAGGAAGATCAGGTCTAATGGGGTTTTTCAGGTCTAAACTGGTCTTTCCGAGGTTTAAGGACTGGTCTCCTTGCAGTGGGAAGGGCATGGAGGATCCATTTCCATTCTCCAGCCATCAGTTTCCATGTGGAAATGTAATTCAAAGGAATATGGGAGATCAGATTCAGATATATAACTGCATCTTCCCAGAACATAACCACTTTAGGATAGCACAGGAACATTTGTATTTTTGAAACATTATTCTCATTGCATTTCCAACAAGATGATGATTTGCTCATTACTTTTCCATACAAATGCAATGGGGTTCACTGAGTCTGAAATAGTGTTTTGTTGAGTAACCCATAATTTGAGATCTATTGATATTTTTGATATTGATATTGCTAATTCTCCCTTATACTGCAGGTTTGAGAAGATGATCAGTGGCTTGTATATGGGTGAGCTGGTCAGGCTCATCCTGGTGAAGATGGCCAAGGAGAAGCTTCTCTTCAACGGGAGGGTCACTACCGACTTGTTGAAGACAGGGCTCTTTGAGACCAAATATGTGTCTGCCATCGAAAAGTGAGTTGTGGGTCAGGGCTGGGACCATCTTGGCCTTTCAAGAATCCATCACAGGGAGGAGCCGGGGGCTGGTTTGCACACAGGTCCCTTGATGACCCAAAGAAGGTGTGAAGGGGCTCCATATAAAATATTACTGAGACATGGCTCAGTTATGCAGAAGGAGCCACCTCTCCATTTAAACAAAGAAATTCTTGTATATATAAAGCTGGTCTGCTCCTCTCGTATTGTGTTGGTCGTCTTCTAGCAGAATTTTAACCCCATTGCAATCTGTATTGAAACCAATAATTTGATTTATTCTGCCTGCTGATTCTACTGCGTGTGTTCAGCATGAGGTAGAAGTTTGGACCTCAGCCCATTTGGAAAGGTGGAATAGAGACCCACAATCAGACAAACGAATAAACTGATAGGAACCATATGGGCTCTTGGAGCACAAGGCAGGTGTGCTGAGGATACACTTGCTGTGGAAAGGATGGGAAAACTAATGACCCTTTTCGTAGAAACCCAGGGTGGGAAGGGACCTTAGAGGTCTTCTAGTCCAGCCCCCTGCCCAGGGCAGGGATCCTCCGACCATCCCGGACAAAGGGCTGTCCAGTCCTCTCATAGCAGCTGAGTGATGCTGAAAATGATGTGAGCGAAGGGAGAGCCCAGGGGCTGGATGGCAGAGTTTGGCCACCCTGGAAGAGGGTTTGGGCACAGACCTCAGCCTGACAGCGAGACTGGAGGTGAGCAAAGTGGCCGGGAGTGGTGTTTTGAGGCTGGCAGGGACTCAGCCTTGCTTGTCCTCCGAATTCGCAGGGAGAAGGACGGCATCCCAAAAGCCCGTGAGATCTTGACGCGGCTGGGCCTGGAGCCTTCCCACGAGGACTGTGTGGCCACCCAGCGCATCTGCGAGATTGTCTCCACCCGCTCGGCAAGCCTCTGCGGGGCTGCTCTGGCCGCTGTGCTCCAGCGCATCAAGGAGAACAGGGGGGTCGACCGCCTGCGCAGCACCGTTGGGGTGGATGGCACCGTCTACAAAAAGCATCCTCAGTAAGTGGGGCTCGGGGACCCAGGGGGAGCGGCTCTGAGTGGGCAAAGGCAGCGGGTTGTAGCTGGCCCGAATCCGTGTTTGCTAGCAGTGCCTGTGAGTCCATCTGAGGTCCAGAGGCATTCTTAGACCCTGGGGAGTTGTTGGCTGGAAGTGGGCATTTTGCTTCGTGGCAAGCCAAATCCCCCCC